TCATTGTAAATTTCAACTTTCAAGTCTTTTTTAAGTTTCTTGTGATGTCAACGAATACTCGTTGTCACTTTCGTTATGCTCGCTGCAGTAGAGACTTTGTGATCGCAGATTACAACTGTAGTACGCCGTTGAACAATACTGGTGTCAGAAACCTTGGAATATCACTCGCACAAATAGTACTTGCTCGATAATACTCGCTAGTATAGTAATCCGTATAATGATCCGAATAGAGAAATACTATGGAGAAATAGTATAGTGAATACAGTAGAGAATAGCGGTCCGTATAGTAATAAAGGATAGAGGAGAAATAGCGATACGAATAGTGATAGAAGATAGACTAGAAATAGCGATCGGAATAGTAATAGAAGATAGATTAGAAATGACGATCCGAATGGTAATAGAGGATAGACTAGAAATGACGATTCGAACAGTAATATAGGATAGACTAGAAATAGCGATCCGAAAAGTAATAGAGGATAGATTAGAAATTGCGATCCGAATAGTAATTGAAAATAGACTAGAAATGCAATCATTTAGACACAACAGTCTTTCGTAATTTTCTGCGCACTCTAAGAACGGAAATTAAACTATTAAAACTATTTACACTACACTTGTCTGGCTACTAATTTTGGATTGTCTACCGAAACTCTCATAATCGTTCTCTCCTGTATAACTTTTGTGGTCTTCCGGTTTTCTTCACATTTAAAACACTTCCAGTAGAAGAAAACATTTTTGCATGGTTTAAACACTGTTTCTGGAAATTCCCAGCTGCTTGACTATCTCTCATTGAGTCATCTTTCTCCGTCAAAGTTACAACCTTCATCTTTGTTTCAGAAGAAATGCTAGCCATGATTTTAGTGTAAAAGGCAAGCTAACGTTCAACTACAATGAATTGTCAAGGCACTTTACACTTGTGTTAATAAGATGGAGGAATTTCTACTTAGAACTTTGCAGATTGTCATAACTTTATCATTTCAGATCTTTCATTGCACCAATATCTTCTGTTACACGACACCTACAAAAAACGAAGACCTTATTGTTCAATTCTCAAGGTCCACATTCACTACCGAAAAAGGTAAACAATCTTAAATTGCTAATAAAATAAAAGTGTATAATCATTTATGTAGTTGACCTAAAACTTTTGCAAGTCAGCGTTAAAAGCCACTTGTCCTACTTTTCGGCATTGCTCAGTCTAATGAAATCTTTTATTAAAAAATGTTATATTTGTGCGAGGTGTGGAAAATGCATCAGTTAAGAGCATAGATAGTGGAATCGCAGGGGGTGAATGGGGGGTCGAGACTGGTCCTTAAGATTAACAGTGCAGAAAGTGACATCAGTAAACCGAACTCAATATCTGGCCTAGTCAGTTGCTTTTGCTTTCACGCAAAAGCCCTTGGGAAAGACATACATTTATCTCTTCACGCACTAGTTATAGGTTAAATAGCATTGTTGATTAGGCTCAGTATCTTTGGCTAGCAGCCAGTCTAAGAGAAGGAAATCTCTGATTTCAAAATCGTGATAAAAGCAACATGCAACCACTCCATCTTTTGGCAATTTACGTATTAAGGTGTTGTCAACTATAGACTGTAATTGTTGTAACATTATATCTTAAATGTAGATATATTTAAACTATTTTGTTTCTCATACCTACAAAATTTAGTTTCTGACAATGACTAATTAGAAACAGAAAAAAATAACTTTGGATAGGTAATCCACAATTTGATGTGGATGTTCAACAACTTACTCGAAAATTGCAAAAATGCAATAAATAATTAAACACACTCTGTTATTTGTATTCAATAAAACTATATATATATATATATATGTATGTGTGTGTGCGTGTGTGTGTGTGTGTGTGTGTGTGTGTGTAAAATTTCAGATATAGCTTATCTGTAATAGGACAATATGAATAAAGACAAAAGGAAAACTTATCTTAGTCGACAAGTTTCGTCCTCTGAGGGACATTATCGAAGCAAATTTGCCTTGATAAACTCCCCAAGAGGATGAAACACGTCGGCTAAGATAAGTTTTCCTTTTATATATATATATATATATATGTGTGTGTGTGTGTGTGTGTGTGTGTGTGTGTGTGTGTGTGTGTGTGAAACGACTAAATTTCTTTCAAAAACTGAACAATAATAAAATGACTATTTTCCTCATCTTTGTTTTTATTATCATAACGTTTTGGCTGTTGTGCTCTCCGGTCTTCTTCAGGATCACTCGGTTGACAACCCAATTTGTGCTTTGCATTGCCAGTGTTTCTTACTGCATCAGTTACTGTTACAAGTGCCGAAAGAAATTTCAGTAAACTAAAATTAATAATAAAATTATCTGCTATCTACAATGAGAGATGACAGATTTTTCCAGATTAGCAATGCATTCTTTTGAAATGCAAAGGTTAAATCCCTTGAATTATAACAAAGTAGGAAATGCGTTAGCTCTTGTTAAGCCTCGAATAAAACTTTGTAAAAATTATTTTTTTAATTTTTGGTCATACTGATGAAATCTTAGTAATATATAGATAAAGAGATCCCTGATAATTTCATCACTTATACTATCTTCTGTACGTGTACTAATGTTTTCTTATAAAAGTTTTCAATGCATCTCCTGGCATTGATGGTAGTTATGAGAAATTCAGACATCTCGTTGGTCATCACAAAAGAATTGAACTTTGTGAGCAAGGGTTTAGGGTATCAATTCTAGTCACTGAAGAGGCAGTATTCGTCGGTCTTTCTGAGGAGAAACAAACGATTTGGTCGGTGACACTTAAACCACCTGAGAATAATTATAACTAACAAAGTGACTCCTTCCACCCTCTTGGGCTTACGTTCTCTGCTGATCTGAAGTGAAAAAGCTATAATGAATCCATTACTAGGTCAACTGCTAGGAAAGTTGGTTCACTGTGTCGGGCAAGACAATTTTTCTCTTTAGAATCTATCTTACATAGCTATAAGTCTACCATTCGTCCATGCTTAGACTATTGCCACCACATATGGTCCGGCGCCCCTGCTGTTTACCTTGAGCTCCTTGAAAAGATCCAAAGAAGAATCATCATTATTATTGGCCCTGATCTGGTGTCTCGTCTTCAGTCACTTTTCAACCGCCGTAAGCTTGCCTCTCTAAGTCTTTTCTATTCATTACTTTAGTAATTATTCTGGTGAGCTTTTCGCTATGGTAGCTAGATTTTTTCAAAATTTAAGCTCAACACTAGATCTCATCAACTTACAGCTGAGCAGGCTAGATGTAGCTAACAGTTTCTTCTCTCGCACTTCTTGCTTGTGGAACTCACTTCCGGCTCTATACTTTCCAGCCAACTTTAATCTGCAAAAATATAAATGCAATGTCAATCGCTATCTACTGTCCACCTGATTACTATCTTCTTTTTCTGCTCATCATTGTTGTTTTTGTTCCTAATTCTTCAACACCCTGTAACCCTTTTTGTCTTTTAGTGGCAGTACTGCCTTGCTTGAGGTGATACCGATAAAAAAAATGCTGGTCCAAGTATAGCTAAGAAAAGTGGATTTGACTTATACGAGTAGAAAACTAACATTTTTGTAAAAGAATTTTGCCCCAAAATTGAAAGGTGTATTCCTGTTTGTGATCTGCTACATTATTTGACATTTGTCTATATTTCTGAGATGAGGTATTATGTACAGTATTTACATTATTCGGACTATTGTCCTCATCTTTGTCGCCATATTTATCACAACGTTTCGACCGTTGTACGCTCCGGCCTTCTTCAGGTGGTTGGAATTTCGAACTGAACCCTTTATTTCGATCACTGGGGTAGACTGTTCTAGTTCCACGTGCCATGTTTGATGGATGTCAGTTATGAGTCCAATACCCGGTTAAGGCAGTGGAGAACTTTCAGAGGGAAAATTAGCAGGAGATAACTGATAACTCAACTTAGAAATGTTTTACAATATTATTTCTGATATATTATAATGATGATTATTCTAGATAACTTGGTTTCAGCAAAATTTGCATTTTATATGAATTTTACTTTATGGAAACTGACATAAAGTTCGGGCTCTCTACCATAGATTTGAGGTGGTGCTCGTAAGCCCCTTAGCATTGACACTGGTACGACACGAGTGTCTTAGTTGCTCTCTACATATGAAGTGGCGTCCGACTAATCCATCCTTTGAGAGATAGATAGATAGATAGATAATGAACAAACTGAGAAAGATAGATAATGAACATAGATAGATAGATAGATAGATAGATAGATAGATAGATAGATATTGAACAAACTGAGAAAGATAGATATTGAACAAACTGAGAAAGATAGATAATGAACAGACTGAGATAGATAGATAGATAGATAGATAGATAGATAGATAGACAGATATTGAACAGATTGGGATAGACGGATAATGAACAGACTGAGATAGATAGATAGATAGATAGATAGATAGATAGATAGATACGGAACAGACTGAGATAGCTGGAAAGTCTGAGCTGGTGGAACCAAGGAATATAGCTAATCAGAACACCTGTCATAGAAATAGCAATAAAATAGTGATAGGCTTGTGATGTTTCGTCTCTATGAAACTGATTTTACGGTGGAAAATAATTAATAGTCCCCAAGGCTGTGTAGATGCTTTTGAACTTTGTCATGACAAGCAAGTAGGGACTGGGCAGCTCCAACCCAGATATGGCAACAATACTCCATTTTTGGTCTGATCTCGCTCTTGTAAAGATAGAGTATAGTGGGGGTGAGTGTCTCAGATACTTACTAGTGCAGTACAAGGAACCGATCATTTTTCCAGCATCTTTAACAATAAACCGGATATATGAATTTTACTTGAGGTTTTGGTTAAGCCTAAGCCTCAATTGGGGTTCAAGGCAAGAAGCCTCCTTAAGAGAATAACCATCCATCATGATAGGTGAAAGTTCAAGTGAAATGTTACTATGCAGTCGTTCAACCATTTGACCACCAGGGCTAAATTAGAGCAGAGATAATCTGATAACCTCTGGTCACTCATATTTTATTGAGTATGCTATCACTCTCTCATATTCTCGTACTATTTCCCTTTCTCTCTCGGCTTCTGTCTCGTTATCACTTTCTCTCAGTATCTCACTTGTTCTCTCTCTCTCTCTCTCTCTCTCAAACTCTCGTTCTCTTTCGTTTTCTGTCTTTCTCTTTTGCTCTATCTCACTCTTTCACTTTTTCGTTTTAGTTCTTAATAAATCTGTCTTTGTTTCGCACTAATCCTTCCTCTCTCGACCTCTCTTCATGTCTTTCTCAAACGCTCTCTCCGTATCTTCCCCTTTTTCTTCTTGCTTTTCTTTTTCTCTCTTGTTCAATCTGTTTTTATCATTTTCCTTTTTCTGTCTCTTTTGCATTCGTTCTCACTCACCATTTCCCTCTTGCTTTCTCTCTTTATTACTTCTCTAGGTCTATCTGTCTCTCTGTCTCACTTTATTTATATCTGTCTCCCATTCTCTGTGTAAATATCTCTCTCTCTCTTTTTCTTTGCCTTTCTCTTTCTTTCTTTTCTCTTATTTCACCTTTGTATTACTTCTCTTTCTGTCGCTATCATTTTTTCTCTGTATTTGACACTCATTCTCTCTGTATGTCTTTCTCTCTTAGTTTCATTCTCTATCTCTATTTTCACTCCCTCTCTTTGGTTTTCTATACTTCTATTTTCTCGCTCTCTCTCTCTCCCACTCACTCGTTCTCCCTGTCACTTTCTAGTCCACTCTATCTCTCTCGCTATCTGTCGTTCTCAATTTTTCTATTTTTCCCCTCAGTCTCTCTCTTTCCCTCTCTCTACTTTCGCCTTCTCTGGCTGACATTTAAAACCAACGCACAAGAAGAGATAAATTGACTAATTGTAATAAATGTTTTTATTCTACTCTTGTATTATTATAGGAATTTCCTTCCTCCTTGTCTCACCTGACACAAAATGGAGATACGGCTTTTTACATGTAAAAAAAATTTCGCATACAATTAATTATCAATGCGTTTTCTTTGAAAATAAATTAATAACCTTGAAATATTATCATGGCATACATATAATTCTGTGTATGGAAGTAGTAATGGAAACAGCTTTAGTACTTGAATAAATGAATAAGTGTTAAACATTTTTTTTTTAAAAAAATAATTCTGTTCACTCTTCTTCGATTATGTTATTTTAAAAAACTTCGTTTTAATATTCATTATTTAAAAATTATTTTTATTTTTTAATTTAACTTTTTAAAATTTACCTTTATCTGAATAAATGAATGTTAACCTTTTTTGCATAAAATTCTATTCGATATGCTTTGTTTAATTCAACATTTCTACAAAGTTTTATTGAATTATGAATTAATATCGTCGAAGTTTCCGATATGCAACATTCAGCATTTGATTTATTAATTTTCTAATTGTTTAAACGTATATTACTCTGAAAATTTTGCTAAGTTTGCTGTGATATTTTCATTTGCTACTAGGTGTGCCGTTTCTTTAAAAAGTTTGAGAAACACTGGTTTAAAGAATCGTAACATTTCTCGCTCACTCACGCGTATTTTATCAGTCAGTTAAGCGAATGGGCTGGTTAAAGGATTGCTTTTGCCGAGGTAATATGCTGATTATCTGTCGATCTCTCTTTCCTAATAACCTATATTTACTATTTTAATGTTGTATTTATTTTGCCTTTAATATTGTTGGGTCATCATTAGACCATTGTACCCAATGTCCTGAAAGAGATGACGATTCATTATTCCTGGATGTCTTAGTTAAATTTCAATATTTTAGAACTGCCTTTTTAATTTCACGGCATCGAAAAGCATTTTAGAGTTGGCGGGAGTTGACTGTTTCAAAAGATCAAATAACAAAAATAAACAGACCACGCAAAGACTCGGCTCAACCTTCCGCATTCAAACATATTTCAAATTACTAAAAATAAAGAATACCCAATAAAATCAGCTCCCGCCAATAAATAAGCATACGCTTCTGGAGCCTACACGAAACCATGTAAACCAGATATCCATTCAAATCAGCAGAAAGACTGACAGCAGTAAATAGAGATGAGGTGACCACGTCGTCCTGTCTTTCTCGCCAAAACAACAGCGGACTTCACTTTCTCTTTTCCTCATTGAAACACTATTTACATTCATTTCATTTCCAGTCAGAGAGAAGAACTTTCTAAATACAAACTTTTATTTTGTGTTAATAGATACAGTCAAGAATTTGTGTATTTTATGTTAAATTAATATCGTCATTTTATTTGAACACACAGCAACCGTTTCATTTTTTATTCAACAAATGGTAACTAATGAAATCTTTCTAAAACAGCATCAAATGACTTGTATAAAGCACTTCTCATGAACAGCTTTATTCTTCTTACATATGTAGTTGTGTAATTCTTTTCTCTGTGCCACTCAAGCCAATGAATAAATCCTCGATTTAGATGATGATAACGACGTCAGTATTCACTTCTACCAGAACTTGATCGGTATTTCAATCCATCTTCGTACGGATACAAAACATTTATCTAAATTCTTCGCAGAATTATTTAAGCAAAAAGGGACCTATTAGATTTACCCTAATTCCAAGATTTACCCTATTCTACACCGAGTAGCATGTTTGCAGCTATTTTGCGCTTTCTGAAATTGTGGCATAAACTTTTACCGGATTACGGATACGACGGTGATTAATAAATTTTATACAGCAGATGGGCGCAGCATTGATCCTAGACAGACGAGCTGAACTATTCATGAATAATATTGTCATTTTTGACGGGTACTATGCTGGTTGAACATAAACATGAAACCGAAAACCAGGATTAAATAGAACGCAGTGGCAAAATCATTTAAATAGTGTCCTCATTTTTGCGGCATGGATAAACAATTTAGATTAAAATAACAAATGTATCAATTTTTCTCTTAATCTTTTCTCTGTCTGTTCTGCCACCTTTTTTTAACATGGGATATTGTTTAAACACACTAATCTATTCTGCCTGTCTATCTGTTTCTCTTCATTCTCTGTCGTGATTACGAGTAGCAACCAAACGGAACAAATAAAATGACCGGTCCTGAAGCAAATCACATTCACGCTAAGACGTTAGAGTCTTTAATTAATCGTGACAATAATAATTATGCCACATATTTTTAGAGAATCGAATCTTACTGCTATTAATGATGTTCACACTCACACGACGTTTCGACCGTTCCACTTGTTGCACTTTGTTTAAATTCAAGGTTCCCAATGTGGAGCGCACTTTGATTTTTATGGGCAATTCGAGAATGAGTTATTAACAGTGTTTTTTTGTTGTTGTTGTTGTTGTTGTTTTTTCTGTGTGAGCATGGTGATTTTCTAAGCGTAGCTTAGATGTGGCACTAAACCGAAAATATGGGGCATCCCTTGAAGATCGAACTCACTATTCATTTGTAATTGATCTAGCGACACGTCCAAATGCCCAAGTCTGTGTGCGTATGAGTGTGTGTGTGTGTGTGTGTGTGTGCGTGTGAGTTAATTCGTACTGTACATATACTGTATGAATACATAAAAAAAAACATTTGTGTATATAATTACCTATGTACTGCATATAGATAGAAATTTGGGGATGGGGATTTGAATAATCATTTATAGTAATTCATCAAGTTTAGAAGAATCCTCAACAGAAACTAGAAAACCCTGGGCAGCCGTTTCGTCTTATGTGGGATTCATCAGCAGTGCGCATCTTCTACCGAGAATCGAACCCAGACCGTTACGATACAACGCAAGTGTCATAAGACTGGAACGACGGGCTTCGGTGACGAAGAAGAAACTGACTGGACTTGATATAGTATAATTTTCTATCACTTGTATATCCTTACTTGATCTAGCTTCTAATGCCCCTGGAGGGAGCGGCTTGGAGAAAGAAGACGAGGTTCTTGTGGCACAATCCCCTGGGTTACGTATACTTAGATGAGTATCACCATGGAATTTAGTGAGTAGCGGCGCTATATCGAGTTTGTCAGTTTCTTCATATATATACACACACACACATATATATATATATATATATATATATATATATATATATATATATATATATATATATATATATATATATATATATAATTTTAAACAATTTTTAGTAATTTCCTCCTTGGTACTTCAAGTGTGCTGACTTTTATTTTCCTAGTAGATACCATGTTTTTGGAAGCATATTTAGTTAGACCAAGTTAGAATAATACGAATTCTATGCCACATGGAAATAAGCATCAGGGATGCTTAGGTGGGGCTACAAGGATGCTTAGGTGGGACAACAGGGATGCTTAGGTGGGACATCAGGGATGCTTAGGTGGGGCAACAGCGATGCTTAGATGGGACATCAGGGATGCTTAGGTGGGGCAACAGGGATGCTTAGGTGGGGCAACAGGGATGCTTAGGTGGGACATCAGGGATGCTTAGGTGGGGCAACAGGGATGCTTAGGTGGGGCAACAGCGATGCTTAGGTGGGGCAACAGGGATCCTTAGGTGGGACATCAGGGATGCTTAGGTGGGGAAACAGCGATGCTTAGGTCGGGCAACAGGGATGCTTAGGTGGGACAACAGGGATTCTTAGGTGGGGCATCAGGGATGTTTAGGTGGGGCTTTGACAAAAAAGTTTTGGAACCACTGGTTTAACATCGAAGAATATTTCTATGTGAAAATTTTGACGTTGCCTGCAGTTTAGAAGCAGTGTCTGCGCGTGATGCAATCACGGATGTCGCAATTCTTTTCAAGGCCAAACAAATTTCATCATACACCCCGAAAATAGATTCGTTTTACTGCACACCACTGCAAATGACTTAATCTGAGGAAAAAATAGAAATCTGTCACTCCAGTAGGTCTAAAACTGACCGTATAGTGAAAGAAAGGAAACTAAAGCGGTTGTTTCAATTAATTTGCACAAGGGTGTAAATCAATAGTCTGAGAAAACTGTTGTTTACAAATAACTGTTTAAACAATTCTGAACGAGTAGAGCGTCATAAATAACATCCATGTTTTTATTATGTATCATGTGGGGTTGAATGAAACTACCCATAGTACAGCCTATTCTAAGTGTAATTTCCTTATCTAATATACTAAATTTGTTATAACGTTTTCCCTTGTGCGCCGAGTACATGAATTTAAGCTTGCAACTTCATTGCCATCTAAGTCCCACCCTTTTACAGTTGAAATAGTTAAATGCGACCGCCACCTCTACTTTAGCAGTTCATTTTCTCGCATTTCCCAACAGTGGAACTCCTTCTCGATTATTTCCTTCCCTGATAACTACAATCTTCACAAATTTAAACCCAACGTCATTCGCCATATTTTGTCTTCTTGAATCCCGTTAATTCTTTAGTCCTATCCTCAATCCTCCCTATACTCAGTATTTTTTCTCACTTTCACTCTCTGTAAACTCCTGTGTATTACTGCCTTTACCACCTTGCTTGGCATTTGAAGTGTTAAATATTTATCTATTTCATATCCTGAAATTTTATACTAGATTCAGGGTATGTGGTATGACAATTTTAATTTCAATTCCAGTCATAGTTTCTGTTTTAGAATGTTTCACTTTGAGTCCGACTTCTTGGAATTTCGTATAGAAAGCTATTGTTTTGCATCAAGATCATTCAACTATGTATACCAATATCATCAGCATAGTCCCCAACCCTCAAGATATGTATACTAGTCTCGGAAGTGAGAGTAAGGACTCCCTTGTTTCTTAGTAGATTTGTTTAGGGAAATGTTTAAATGATCAGTGCCCATCTCTTCACATCTGTGCTTGTATATGTGCGTCACATAGTCTAGGAAAAAGGTTGAATAGACTACGGCTCTTATTTTTTCGCTTATCATACTCTTGGTGAGGTTTGAAATAGTTCGCTATTGAGA